ATCATCCTAAAACATTCAAATTTTTATTAGAAGATAATAATTTTGATGATATTTATCATAATATTCTATCTAAATTACACGATTTAATCGCGACTGAAGATAATATTAAAATTGATGATACATTTGAAAATAATAATTTTATTATTTATACAAAAAATATTGTGTCAGAACTTTCGAAGTTATTGGCAAATACGAATAAGATAAACAATGTCAAAAGATGTTTTAGTGAATATTCTTTTATTAATGATAATATACATCTAAAAAAGTTGTTTGAAACTCTCGATATATTTGTAAAAAAAATTGAAAATCGCATAAAAAAGCTTACTGAATCCTGGGAGCAAGACCTTTTAAATCGTTATTATTATGATACCACAAATAAGTATAGTTAATAAATATTAAATTCTGACCAATTATTTACTATAGATTTGATACAAATCACAGTATATTCTTGGAAAATGAAATGGATCAAACATTATCTACATCATATCCAAATGACTTAATTCAATTATTAGATGAATTCGACAAAAGATATAATATATTAATAGATATTATCAAAAGGAATAATAATGAAACCGATGAATTTGTCTTAAATTTTTTGGAAAAAACTAAGAAGTCTTTAAACAATGCGAAAGATTTTTCAAAAGTTTTAAATTATTAAAATATATCCAAATAATCCCTATTTTTTTAGGATATAAATAAATATAACAAATTATTCCTTAATTTTGGATTTGAAAGACATTTAATAAATCTTTTAAGTTATGACAAATCAAACTTTATCAAATATTGCGAGCAGGTAATTTTTGATATTTAAATACTAATGCATTAAATCTAGAATAATGTAACTTGGAGCAGTTTGGTGGATGACAATGAAAAATTAAATACAATTAAAACTAAACTTATAAAATTGGTGAATACAATTCAGACACTTGAAAATATTGAAAGTAACTCGGATAGTTACATAAAAAATTTGACGAAATACAGTATATTCAATAATCACCAAGAGATCAATAATGTGATAAAATATGTTCATAATCTGTCCCAAAAATTAATATATCCAGAGGTTTATTATTGTTTTATATAAGGAGATATTTATGAATTAAAATTAAGATTTAGCCCATAGTAACAAATATTCTTAGCCATTGGGTTAACTTAAATATAACCTTTGATGTAAACATTAACATACATACCATAAAAGGGTTCTCAACTGTTTTTAATTATTGTTTTATTACTATCATATCTCATTCTATCTAGACTTTTGAAATTTTTTTCCTCATAAAAGCACTCTACCATTGTAAATCCCTAAAACTCGATTATAAGTCTTATCTAGTAAATAAATATCATAGATATTTTCCTATTTCACTGGATTTTTTTCAATGAGGAAATTCTAAGTATAAGATACATCGCTGATCTTCCTACTTTAAATCAATATTTATAATTATTCAGGTCAAACTATTTTAAATGATATGATAAACCGAAAATTAATCAATATATAATTTCCATTACCGAATACTAGGCATAGGCATAATATTTTTCTTCTCATCGAAGTTTTTTTGGAATAAAATATGTTAAAATATAATATTACTGTATTTTTGGGAAGGGAAATGTTTTTTTAAATATTTAACCTTTGAGTGGTAAGATAAAAAAAATAATAACGCAAGCAAGTGATAAATTATTATCTTGAGTTTTCATATTTGAAATATATAAGTTTTATAAGAGTGATTTTATAAAGATAGTCAAAAAGCAGAAATGCTATTAATTTTATAGTGGTAAAATATTAACAATAGCAGCATAACTGCTATTTTAAAATAGTTCCTCTAGATCCTTTGAGTATCACAAAACATTATCATCCCTTCACCTAAACATCTTTTATATAGCATTTTTAGATAACTAGCGTCCTTTTTCAATATTAATTATATCCATATACTCTAAAATAACTTATACATACATTTATTTAAGGGGGGGGGGTAGGGGTAGGAAGAGCGTAGGAGAACTATTTTTATCAATTAACATGTTATAAATCCCTGAGAGGAAGGAGGGAGGAGGGGGCCCCTTTTCCCAGATATGCCTATGCAATAAGGTACAATTAATTGGAAAAATGTATTCTAAATTTTATTATTATAGTTCAATATTTTTATTAAAAGGAAATGATTGCAGAATGGAAATATAATATTGAAACAAAAATATTAACAATATTAAAAGAAAGTTGTGCTATTCCGGATATAAAAACTTTGGATGTCAAATTCGAAATAGAAATTTTATATAAGTATTAAAACATGTTTGTTTTCTATAAAACTTCTTCTTTTAGAAATTTTAAACTTCGTCTGTCCCCCAATATTGATGGCTTAAAGAGTGCCATTAATTTAAGATTGAAATCTCTGAAAACTTTACCAGACAATAATATAAATATTTTTGAAATAGAAGAAATAAATAAAAGTTTTAAAAATTTCTTGGATACACAAATTAATGAAGATATTGAAAATGAAATAGAAAAAAATTTTGTCAAAATTGAACAAGAAATCGGAAACGTTTTAACATCCATCCAAGTAAATAAATTATAGTGTTAAAGGAAAAATAACTTTTTTAAAAATAAAGCAAACACTTGAAAGAATAACTAAAGATGATATTAAAGAAACCGACATTATAGATTGGAAAAAAACGTATATCTTATACGAAGAAAAAATCAAATTAATAAACAATATTAGTGATTCATTTTTAATAAATGATATTATTATATTATCCACCAAAAAAATGAAGCAAACTTTAATTAGAAAAACCATGGAAACGCTTAAAAATATAAAACTGGAATTAAAATATGATATTACTCAAAAAATGAAAAAATTTCGAGAAAGAATCTTTGATATTAATAATATGTTCAATATTAAAATTTGGAATGAAGATGATACCCAAATTTACAAGAATATTGAAAAAATTGATGAAAATAAAGTTTGTTAAATAATTATAAATATAATATATAATTATATTATATTATATAAACTCTTTTAAAATTAATTTAAGTTAGCTGATGAACTGGATAAAATTATGGCCTATAATGAGTTTTATGAGAAGAATTCGCTAGAGAAACTTCAAGAAAAAGATTTAGTCTTTAAGGAATGGTCTAATCTACAAATGAATATCATAAAAAAATCGGATCTTTTGAAAAAAAAATTAAAAATTATTAACGATAATATCAAGTCCAATTACGAATCACTAGAAAAAGAATATAAAATAATACATGATAGATGGGAAGACATCTTTCAACTGATTATGAAATCCAACTATTATAAAAAGGATAACAACACTTACATAAATTACGAAAATATCATTAAAGATATTTGTGAATTATCTAAAATAAAAGATAAATGGAATAACTTTTCATTAAGAGTCTGTACATTTAGGAAAAAATTGAATGATAATCCGAATGATAACGAATCAAGGGTTTATAAGGATTTGGATTCGTTATATCAAATGAAATCTTTTATTCAAAATAATCAAAAAGCTATTGATTTTGCTATAAATTTGGACGAACTCAATTTGATCCCATTCGACGAAAAAGAGTAAATTTTATAAATTTATTTAGATTATAGTGAAAAATTTCTAGATCAATCTCAAATACAATAAATAAAATAATTGGAAATATAGGCTACATCGAAATTTATTTTAATAGCAAGCCCTTTTTACTACAATTAATAACCGATATTAAAGATATTTTACCCATATTTTCAAGATTTTATAAAGAAAATTTATGGGATCATGCTTTACCCTATATAATAAACATCATAAAATTAAGCGCACCTCATAAAAATGATCATGATTCCAATAAGTTTTCATTTGTTCTAAAACATCTAAATTTATTGTATATAAATAAAGATAAATTATCGGTATATTTACATTTATGTTATAATCATAATATAAATGTGGATAGGTAATATTAAATCAAAGTTCAAACATTCTAATACTAAATAATTTGCTCAAAGAGTTAGATGTGTGGAGTAAAACAGTAAGCTTAAAATTTAATACTTACACTCTTTCACTGGGTAAAAGAATTGGTGTTCCTGATAATTTAATTTATATAATTAACCAGGTATAAATTAGTTCCTGTAAATATAACATAATTATAATATTTTTCGTAGATTGCCGCAAAAGAAAATAATATTTCCTCAGCTAAGCATTTAAAACTTGAAAAAGATATTGTAAACTTTAAAAACTTAGAAAAATGGCGGGATAATTTGAAAATAATAAAAAATGCAGTCAAACTAATTCATGAAATTAATAAACAATGGATATTTTTAGAACCCCTAATTTCCAAAAAGGTTATGTTTAATGAAGAATGTCATCAAATTTTTTTTGTTGCACAATTACAATGGATAAATGTGCTGCATTCATTAGAACTTAATCCTACTATCATTGAGTATTTTATCGATTCAATATTAGATAATGGTGAACATAAGAAAAAACTTTATATAAATAAATTGAACAAACTGAATGAAAACTTTACGATATCATCGGATATGTTAAATGAATATTTAGAAGTAATTTTACTAATATATATACATTATTTTAAATATTTGTTTTAACGAGGGTAAATATAAGTAAATGGTTGTTATGATTATCCATTCATTTTAATTTAAAAAATAAAACAAACTGTAGGAAAATTTTAGGATATCATGGGATATGTTAATTCAATATTTAGAAGTAATTTTACTAATATTAATACCTTCTGGGGCTAAATATAAGTTTATGGTTGTCATGCTTAATTCCTTTTATTTAAAAAATAACCAATCTTTGATTATGATAATTTAAAAACATTTGATTAACATAGGGGCCATTCAAATGTATTCTTATTTTTAAATAATCTTAACCATTTTATAATAATTTATTAGAATAAAAGGGTATTGGTTCCTCGATTATATTTTATAAATCATTTGGAATTATTGACCTTATTAAGTGATTCTCAAGATATTGCTACACTCAATAAATATGTACCAAAACTTTACTGTGGAATTAATAAATTTGAAATAGATGAAGACCAAAGGCAAATAAATTTTTTTATATCTGAAATGAATGAGAGGCTAAAGCTAGCTTTTGATGTGAATCTGACGAAAAATATTACAGTAAACACAATTTGTCGATTGATTGATTTAAGGAAAAGATCCAATCAAAAAAGGAAAAGGATCAATCATAAAAGGAAAAGGTTTAATCAAAAAAGGAAAAAAAGGAAAATCGTTAAACAAAAAAGAAAAAGATCCAATCAAAAAAGGAAAAGGGTCAATCAAAAAAGGAAAATTCCCAAAAGGAAAGGAAAAGTGTCAATGAATTCCCATTCAAAAAAGGAAAATCTATTATTTTTTTTTCTTGTCAATATTTCTTAGATTTTTATTCATTTTTATTATTCCTTCTTATTTTATATTTTTGTCTTTACTTTATTTTTCTATTATCTTTTCTCAATTTATTTTTCTATTCATTTTTGATAATTCTTTTTATTAGAAATAATTTATAATTTTTCCTTGTTATCTTTCTTCACTTCTCTACCCCATTTTTTAAACAATTCTTTCATTTTTTTTTCATCATACATAACAATATTTTGACTTTTTATGATTTTTTCTCCTTATATTGTTATTTTTTACATATATTTCTAACTTTTTGAATCTTATTAAGTCATTTTTAATCTATATTTTTCTGATATTTTCTCAATTTTTTCTTCTCCTCATTTTTGATAGATCTTTTTAATTATCACTTATATTTCTCAATGGCAGATATTAGAATAAATAAGAATTTAAAAATGTTTATATTTTATTAATTTACATATCGTTTGGTATTACAGTTCAAACTTATTTTATAAATTAAAAGGTACATTATAACCTAACGATTAATTTATTTCAACAATTGTAATTAAGTAATTTGATATGTAAAAAATTCTAATAAAAAAATTATCTGCCATTGAGTAATAAAAATTAAGTGAAAATTAACAATAATTACAAAAAAGAATTATCAAAAATGTTGAAGAAGAAAAAATTGAGAAAAGATCAGAAAAATAAAGATTAAAAATGGTTTAAAGAGATTTTAAAAGATAGAAATATATGTAAAAGATAACAATATAAGGCGAAAAAATCATAAAAAGTCAAAATATTATTATGCATGATGAAAAAAAAGGAAAGAATTGTTAAAAAAATTGAAGAGAAGTGAAGAAAAAATAACAGGGAAAATTTATAAATTATTTTTTAAAAAATAAAAGAATTATCAAAAGTGAGAAAAAAAATAAATGAGAAAAGATAGTAAGAAAAATAAAGTAAAGAAATCACAAAAGTTAGAAATAAAATAAGAAGGAATAATAAAAATTTAAGAAGTATAGACATGAAAAAAAATTTATATATTTTTTAAAAATATTTTAAAAAAATAACGATTTTCCTTTTTTGAATGGGAATTTTACTTTTTTTGATTGACACTTTTCCTTTCCTTTTGGGAATTTTTCACACTTTTCTTTTTTTGATTGGATCTTCTCCTTTTTTGTTTGACACTTTTCCTTTTTTTGATCGTATTTTTTTATAAACCTTTGGGACTTTTCCTTTTTTGATTGAACCTTTTCCTTTTATGTTGACCCCTTTCCTTTTTTGATTGAAACTTTTCCTTTTTGATTGGAACTTATCCTTCTTTGAATAGGAAACCCTGTTATAATCCTTAATATATTAAAAAACAAACTACTATGTGAAATGTTTAGACCTGACTTCCATTAAGTAAATATATATGACCGAGGAGTTATTATTTTATATTTTTAATCAACAGTTAAATATATCAGAATCAGGTTAAACACTCCCCTCTTTTAAAGTATATTTTTTTATTATTCTGTCATAGTATTATCAGAGACCTGCAGACCCAGCCTTAAGCCCAGGATTTTAATTTAAACATACTCGGGAGGGCCTAAAATATCTGTTTAAAATAAATATTTTAAAGTGCCATTATTAGTTATAAAAAGAAATAATATATTTAGAAAAATCCGGGCCGGACCTGAAAATATAAAACCCCGGCCTAACCAGATCGAAATTTTTTTTGAAAAAAAGACAGGGCTATGCAAATGGTACCTCTACAGGTCTTTAGTATATATAATATATTTTATAATTAGGAATGGCTAAATGAGCTATCTTCATCAATAAATGTGTCACTGGTGTTAATTTTGCGGACTAATTTTTTAAAGATAAACAATTTACTAAACATTGATGATAAGAAAAGGAAAGATTATTTTATTAATATCGAAAATTTACCGTTTCAAGTTAGATAATTTAATTATGTATATTATTTTAATTTAATAAATTGTATAATACAATAACTTTATAGTTCTATCTAAAGCTAAATCACCTCAATTTGGACCATTAAAAACGGCGAAATAGAGATGATTTAACAATCATTTCTCTCTGTTGTATATTGTAATATTATAAAAAATTATAAAATGCTCTCTTAAGCATATAAAATAGGGTAAATATAATAAATGACGTAAAAAATATTTTGAAGTAATTACGTTTTATATGCTTAAATAAAGTATAGCACAATTTTAAAAATATTTTTCATATTTCTTAAATCGATCGGTTATCGCATATTTTTTTGGTTTAGTATATCAAAACATCTCACTATATATGCAAACTACTTAATTTTTAAGATATTTAAAATGGTAGTGTCATTAATAGATAAATTTGATTTTGTCTGAATGATAACAAAATAGGGATAATTATATGATTCAGGTCAATAAAATATTAGTATTATAACTCTACAAAGCTAAATTTCTTTATAAAACCTTATAAACTTTCATATCGTTTAATTTAAATAATGCATTTCAAGACACAAACCTAAATGTAAATATGTTTAGGCATCTATAATGAAATTCCTCAAAAATCAAGAAATAATAAAAAATAAAACCTAGGGTATACTCAACAGCTATACTGTAAAACTTTGCACATATCTTAATCAATTAAACTGTCATTTTTGGTAGGATGGTGATTAAAAAGTAGATTTAATTTTATTTTCTAACAAAGACTATAAGAAAGGAACAAGTATTTTGCTTTTTTTGTTATAGAAATGATATTATTATTTCAAGGTTATAAATAAAATTGCTATTAGTTAGCTACAAACACGGTAATTCAGCTAGCTATCTCTTATAATTTAGAAGCTAGATCAGCAGTAACACGTTATCTATTTTACCCTGTTATCCAAGCCAATAATTGAGTAATGACAAAATATCGACTAATTCTTCTCAAACTATGTGTGCATACCGAAAGAAATTTGTTTTGTAATGAAGCGTAAGTTAAATTTATGGTTTCATGATTCACCTTATTTTCACCGCTCAAAGTTGGTTAAAATCAGAGAATTAACCCAACTAAGCACGCTTGTTGATAACTTTTATAATGTTCTCTGAATATAACGCAGATACAATAACCGCAGTTTATTTGTATTTAAACCAAGTGAGCGTTTTACCTCTCCAACTATACCCCAAGGTTTTTAAGTTCATTTATATAACTCTTGCCACTTAGTTTCTGATTAATTTTATTTTATAGTATCCCAAGAATCTTGAATATAAATTTTGATTAATTTATCTTAAATTGTATTTAAACATAACAAAAAATACAAAAATAAACAATTAGAGGCCAAATGCAAAAATATTTAAACTAGGAGAGACGGCCTGGAAATACTTATAATATACCTAGGAGATTATAAAAATTATTATTTTTAAATTAAAACCCTTCCTGCAGCAGGGTAATATCAAATTTTAAACAACTGTTTTACCACAATTATCGTTTAGCCCTCTTTACCATATATAATTTATAAAGTTCCACCACAAATTTTCAATTCAGCCTTAATGAATATTTATAAACAGTTTAATAATGCCACTTGCAGAAAATTCACTCTAAAATTGAAATTTTATTATATAAGCATAGCACAATCTTTTATTCTATTTTATCATTAGTTAAAAAAATAGATTTTATTTGTAGTCCATTATTTTTTATTTAATTTTGGTTATTGCATTTTTAATCTAAATTATTTTATTTTTAACCTTAAACATAGATGATTTCAGTTGCTAGACAGCTTGAATTCACAAATAAGTGTGAGTATTATATAAAGGAGAAAAAATTGAATGATTTCTTATCATCACTACATTCTTTTCACAAAGATATCGCCGTTAATATTGAATATGTAGAAAATTTATATACAAAATCAAAATTAAAAGTAAAATACTAATTATCTTATATATTATAAATAATTTTGAGAATGACATATAGAATAAATTATTTAAGGATAATGGTGTGCAAAGCATTTGAGAAAGGAAAGGCTGATGCGACATTATACATAATATTTTAATAATATAAAGATAGCTAATAGATGTATAAGTCCTATTTGATTAAACCATCTTACATGTAATGGCCATTATATATTTGAACGATTTATGAATTACAAGCCGCTTTAATTTTGATTGAGCTCCTTCAGATATGATAAATTTTTCTCCCCTATATCTGAATATTTCCTTTTTTAAAAAAAATGTTATTTTCTGTGATAAAGTAGCTAATATATTTGATTTTTCTTAATATCTTGCCAATTGATTATGTTTTATAATTACTGAGCGATCACAAACTCAAATATTAAATTGATGGGTCATAGAAAATAATTGAATTATCCTTTCAGCAATTTCGAATATATTGAGGAGAGTTATACTTTTCGCCGTCCCAGACTCTGATCATATTAATTGAGGGATAGATATTTTTTAACTAAGTTATTTAAAACTTACATAAATATTAGCTTAAAAACATTTAAAAAATTATTATCGCTTAATAAAATTATATTTTAAAAATGACATAAGGAATATCCTGCATAATGGCCCAGACAAAATTATCCAACACAAAAAGTTACCGGACAAAAAAAATCCTAATTTTAAAAATGTATTTAAATGTCTCCTTTTAAGCGTTTAAATTTTTGAAATTTGAGGTATATTTTTGTTCGGTGTCTTTTTGTCCATGTGTGTTTCTTTCTAGTGTCTTTTGTCCGGGATTTTCTCCAGGTATCTAGGACATTTTTGTCCGTTCATCATATCTTAAATTGTTAAAATAAACAAGGTTTATAAAAGGTTAGAGATTTAAACTTCCGTGAGTAGCATTCTCCCTATAAATAAATCAGTCCTTTTTGTAAGAAATAAATTAAAGTCCATTGCATGCATATTCGTTACATTTGAAAGTTGAATACAAAAAATATTGAAATTATACAAGTTGTTTTATTTTAAAATATCTCTCAAAATATGCTCCGTAAGCCTCTTGTCCATCCATATTTGATTAGTGATAAGAAGGATATAAAATATAATCCCGTGACATTTTACTAAAGTTTTTCACTTATTAAAGGGAATCCTTATGGAACAGATATATTTTATCAATATAGTCAAGTCCTTGATTAATAGCCAAGTCTATAATACTGAATCGTTTGGATGGAAGAAATTTATCAGGTATGGTAACTAATATATTCTATAATCATTTATTTAAATAAGGTTTGATTAATTGTTTGCAACTAACCTAAAAAATTAAATATGTAATATATTATTGATTTATAAGTTAGATCAGTTCTTCATATAGAACGTTTCTAATTTTGAAAATAATTGATGAAATCTCATGTAGGTTTAAACTTGGATAAATAACAAAATAATTATTATTCTATTATAAGTTAAAAAATCATTTTGAATGTTTATCCCAAATGGTGATGAAATAACCTAAATTTTAAAATCTCACCCCATATTCATAATAAAGGATTAAAAATAATAGATCCTTTTTTGATATGAAATTTAAAATAAATTAGTGGAATGTATTCCATTATTCTCTTCAACAAATTTAATTATTAATAATTCTTAAAATTAAAGTAAAATATGAATTAAAATAAGCTAAGGTTGTATAATATATATTGATTACGAATTAGTATAGTGTTTGATTAACTTTCCGACATTAATAATTTTACTGTTTTTAGATAAAATATATATTTAAAATTATGCATAAGTTAATCTGTAGGAGTTTTTAATATAATTCAAATTACAGTATTAAACTTATTTGATAGATATTACAGTAAAAACCTTATTGATGAGGACGAAGACCTCAATATAGAAATCCATATATGGAACAATATATTCCATTACAATTTTGAATTTCTACCATTTACACTTCCGTTAGTTTATACAAATTTGACCGAAAAATGTTTTCTTATCTCTACAAATGGTACCTATATCGTTTCTAATGTTTAACCTATAATTCCCTATAGCATTAGCAAATAATTGTGGTGCCGATTTATATGGAATAGCTGGAACAGGTAAAACAGAAACTGTTAAAGAATTAGGTAGATATTTAGGCAAAAGAGTTATCGTTATCAATTGTCATAAAGTAATTCATATTTTTAGAACACAAAAATTTATAATTCCCTAAACGGTTTATGCATATTTCAAAAAATTTATAATTATTAAATTAAATTATAGTTTAACATAGAAATCCAAAATACTTTCAACGAAAATGAATGGAGTTACTTTCTTAAGTTACGTATAAAATTCTATTCCAAATACCATTATTAATTATTAAATAAACGCTCTAAAATTATAATATATATTGAAATTTTGCTTATAATGAAAGTATGTTGTAATAAATTGTATATACAAATTTACTATACCAAAAAAATAAAGTATATTATGTGTCCTCTATTTTATTTATTAATTAACCTTGTATAATCTAAAATATTCTTATAGATGTTGAAAATGGGAGATGGATTGGATTAAAACAAAGAAAGATCTCATTAATTCTTACATATTAAAAAATAATATAGTTATAATGTAATTCAAAGTTCTATATTTTTTTACAACATAATCCAGCGAGAAAAGTTTGGGACTTCGAGTTAATCAAGATAAAAGTGAATATTGTCCTCTTAGGATCATTGATTTTAACCACGATACTATGTTCAATCATACACCATTGAACGCTTTAACACATCTCGGATCTCCAGTAGGTAAAGACGAGTCCTTTATCAAGTTCTTTGCCGATATTCTACGAGAGATATCCCTTATGCGCGATACACTATCTCGCCTCCCAGCTCACCAAGCTTTCTTCTTATTAAAGAATTACCTTTTAATTCCAAGAATTTTATATACACTCCGAGCGTCACGGATCTTTCAATATGACGTCAACCTCGCTTCACACGAACTGGAGATTAAAACAGAAGATATACTCAATCTTAAATTTGAGGAATTATCATGGTTGCAGGCTACCTCAACCAAATACGGCGGCATTGGTATAAGGTCATCTTTACTTTCTGTTAGTGCGTTCATATCCTCTCGCCTGTCCTGCGAGTCCGTCAATCAAACACTAACAAAACATCCTGACCCCTTACTCCTACGGGCAATTGATCTATGGAAGTCCCTCTCATTAGTCGATCCTCCATCGTCGGCATTACAGAAGGATTGGGATAAACCTCTAGTTGGCAACTCCGTTGCATTCCTTAAATCGAGGAGCCAACCAGAGGACCATTCTCTATTCTTCTCCATTTCCGAAGGTAGTGGATACGAATTTGAGGCTTTCCCATCCCGAAACTTTGACCAGCTCCTAAGCAATGATAGCTACTTCACGCCATCGGTCTTATACTGAATTGCGATATGGTAATAGCTTATCACTGTATCCTCTGTCAAACGTCGGTCAACTCCAAAAGCCGTCACTCTCTACACTGCAAGCGCTGTAGAGGCAGATTCATTAGGCATTCAAAATGCAATAATACTATTGCCAGGGCCTTAAAATCCGCCGGCATCCCATCAACCCTCGAACCTACTGGCCTTTACAACTCCGATGGTAAGCGGCCCGATGGTTCGACTATGATCCCTTGGAAGAGGGGGGGGGATTTCTAACTTGAGATTGGGATTTCTCATGCATCGATCCTCTTGCCCCTTCCAATATAAATAGAGATGCCATACTAGATGCCGAGGCGAATAAACTAGTAAATATTCGCCATCTCTTCCGCCAATTATACTTTCCTACCATTAATCGCCACTACTCTAACGTCGTTCGGCTCTCATGCCCTAGTCTTCTTTAAAGAGCTGGGAAAACAGATCTCTGCTAGGACCGAGGATCCCAACAAGGGATTCTACCTACGCCAACGATTAGCCATAAATATAGTAAAATATAATTATCTCAGCTTTATTTTTTCAGTATCCGAAACCCCGTAATTGAACATCCTATGCATAGTATAGACTTTGGCCATTTTGTTGCCTATTATAATGTTAGCGCTAAAAGGGAACTTGAATATCAATCAATAAAAAAATAGCAAGAATTAATGACTTTATATAATTGTGATTTACTAATATTATATTTTTTTACTATTATTATAACATACCTTGATATAAATTGTCGATATAACGAAATTATAATTGTAATTAATTATTTTAAAAATAACAATTTTAGTATGAAATTTATAATAATATATTTGGCCAAATTTAAAACCCGTGGTTTCATGTGATTCATTATTTTTGTCACAAAATTTTTTTTTAAGATCACACGACTTATGATTTCGATATGTATAATATTTGTATAAAGAACTTTATAAAAATAAATAATATTATTTATTAACCAAGAAAATGAGTTAAATATCTTTATTTTATTATAATATATATATATCAGAGATCTGCAGAGGTATACTACTTGCACAGCCCAGCCCGAATATTTTTTAAAAAATTTTCGGCCCAACCCGGCCTGGGTTTATTTTTTTTTTTAAAAAAATATTTGACATTTATTTTTAATTTTTATAGCTAATAATGGCGATTTAAAAGAGTCGGTTTTAAAATATACGGCCCGGCTCGGGTACAATTAAAAAATTAAAATACGGACGCGCCCATATATCTAGGCTGGGCTTAGGGCCGGGCCGCAGGTCTCTGATATATATACAGTAGATTTTTTATTATTGTTTTTATACATTTATTGCGTAGGAACTTGCAATTTATACTACTAATATTAATTTTAAAATTAGATAAAATATAAAATAGAAACACTAAATTAAGTAACGCAATCACACATAAATTTCACAAATTTTTTAAAATATTCATATGCCATAATTTATGAATAATAAATATAATTACAAAATCTTTATGAACCGAGTCAAAATTTATAAATGTTCGGTTAACGGTTCAGGTATGACGAAGTCTTGGTAGATTATAACGGAAGTTCCGAAGTTCGGGACACGTGGATAGAATTTTTGCTAAATAATTTTATTACTGAAAGTGAACAATATCATCCTATATGAATTTAAAATCTTAACCTAACCAGAACATTAATATATAATTCTTACTGAATTCACAATTTTACCTCCTCCTGAAATAAGTAATAATATAGAAATAGATAGTGTACTTAAAGTAACTAATTACATTTTTGCAAAATAGTAATTGTAACTAGTTAATCTTAAAATAATGTAGCTCGCTTTTTTAAGAATGTCCCTAGGAGTAACTAGTTGCCTTTCAAAAGTAATTGTTAACACCATTAGATATAAAGTATTATAGAATTATTATTAAAATTTGTCTTACTTTTTTTTAAATAGGATATAAACCGAAAAGTGATTGAAAGATTATTATATGGAATAAATTATTGTAAATTTTGGGGATGTTTTGATGAATTCAACCGCCTTGATTCTGATAATCTTCTCAATATATCAGAAATATTTTTGCAATTTAAAAATTCACTTGCAATTTGCAATGAAACGGTAGTAAGATAATATAATATTATTTAATTCATAATTTTGATTTATTTTAAGAATAATCATTTCGGTTATTTCCTAACAATGAACCCTCAAAATAAGAGATATCTAGATAGAGCTATATTACCAGATTATGTTAAAGATATATTTGTTCCAATATCGATGCAATACCCGAATGTTATGGAGATTCTTCAATCGCTACTAGCATTATCTTATCATGGTTTATATCACGATGAAGGGGCCTTGAAATTTTACAATTTAATTTTAAGTTTTGAAAAAATTCTCTCAGGTGAAATATACTATGATTGGAGCTTAAGATCGATCTTGTACATCATTCAATTATTTCAAAATACTTTGAAGAAAGCCAATGCTGTAGAATTTCATCTATCTAATGTGGATGTGATTTATGAATATGATTTGTTTTTACTTAAGAGTTTGCAGAATATATTTTATCCTAAAATGAACATGTGCGATCAATCATTAATTAATTACATCATACAATGCTATTACAATATTGATATAGATAGCCTAAAAGCTACTCGATTTCTGGACATTTTTACGAAAGAAGAAGAAATTATATCATTTTTGAAAAAAGACCAATATTTTAATATTATTTTTAAAAATAATCTGGACTACATGATCACAAAATGCATAGAAACATATCAGCAATTAAGTAATAGATCTGGTATATTAATAATCGGCCCACCCAAATCCGGCAAAACTTTAATAGTTAATTATCTACAGAAGGCTTTAAAAAGTATTAATAATAATGAGAATCGTAAAGATTTGGAAAAAGAGGAACAAGATTTCCCAATAATATATCCGAATTGCTTAAATCTAAAACAAATTTTTGGGAATATGGATTTTGAAAATAATAAATGGACTGATGGGTTATTTACATTCTACGTTAGAAATTTATTGAATAACGGTATGAATAATGTTTGTAAATATTTTATTCTTTCTAATATAAAAACATAAGATTCCAAAGAAATAGAAAAATGGATTATTTTTAAGGGTCATTTAAATCCACTATGGGTTGAGTCTTTAAATTCTATATTAGATGAAAACCACATTTTAGTTCTAGCATCGGGAGAAATTATAAACTTTCAACAGAATCAAAAAATTACAATTAATGAAAGTATTATTAAACTAATTTTTGTAACTGATGAAGTAAGTAATAGTTCACCAGCCACGCTATCACGTTTAGGAGTGATTGTATTGGAAGATATGGATAAGTTTCTAAAAAATTTGCTATTATAATCATTATTTTATATTACAATAGGGATCAATATTATAAAACGATCGAAATAAAAAATTTAGCAAGAAATGATTGCAAAAAATTATTCATTTATTTTAATAATTTAATGAAAGGCATCGATATTAAGATCCCTCTTACTAAACTTTGTTTTAAAAATATATTGGAAGTCTCATTTAATGATAGTATTCTCCAAACATACAACATTGGCGATTCACTTGAAAATATTATTATTGCCTGGAATAAGATGAATATTTTAAACGTCGTCTCTAAATATGACCAATTTATAATGGAAAAAAATGAATTATTTGCACTAGGTTCATCAAAACTAAAGGTGAATTATATTGTTTTATATAAAGTATATTTTGTGTGTATATATAGTTAAAATATTGTGATATCAAAATATCAGAAAAATTATCCCAATTTAGAGAAATATCATCATTTATTTGCAAGAAATATCATCAAAATTATTATACTTCACGTTATTTATTTATTCTATACGGTTATAATCAACACACAATTGATCTATTTATAAATCATAACATATATTTAAATACGGAAACATTATATATTCGAAATTTTAAAGCAGAAAATCTAATGGAATTTGAATTGAAATTATGCGAATGTTGTGAGAAAATTGAAAATGATAATGAATATCGTCTAATACCTAAATATTCATATCTAACCTTGATCTTTACTGATTTATTTGATTTCACAGATGTGGAATATACCAGGTCATTTTTATTACAGGTAATAATATACAAAAAAAATATATATATTTGAAATAAAATTTTAAGTTATATGAACTCTCTGGATTCTATAATGGCAATAACAAATGGGTGGTATGTGATAAAATAAATATTGTCGTAACAATTTGCGAAAAAGAATTATTATCGAATACCAAATGTTTTCCGTTAAATGCATCATTAATGGCTAGATCAATTTTTCTATATATACCGTACGTATTCATCCATTTTTTCAACACTATCATGTCCTATTCTTCCTATCTCTATCACTATTCATATCACCATCCCCTTCCTTTCCTTTAATTTCCTTCCTTTAATTTCTTATTTCTTTAAATTTAAGAAAGCTAACTGCTGATGAATATAACATTATTCTTAAAAAATGTCATGACAACATATCTTCTGTTATTACGAACTTTAGTACTTTTCCTCAGCAAGATGCTATCAAAGAAATTTGGAATCTCTTACTAATTAAAGTAAATTTTAAGTGTTATTTATATTATAAATTTAATGATAGTTTTGGGATACAATACAAAATTTGGAAATTAAAAAAGATCTTTATGGAAAATATGATGTATTTGTTCACCTTATCATGAAAGTGTACAATCGTTTACTCTCTATGATCTCTAAATCAAATTATGAGATTTCATCAAATTTTTATATCACTTTATTGGTTAAGTTATTTTATATCTCAACCACCTCATATTGGGAAATGTCATATAGCAATATGATAACAATAATCAATAAAAATTGTAAAAGTAGTATTATTAATCAAAATTTTGAAATTGGTATATTGTATATTACTAAATCTATATATTACTTTTTACGCAGATCCAGAATTAATATTTATACATCAAGCTATAAAAACGGAGGGTATTAAAAATCGATGGGAAGCTATGCCTTTTAAAGAATTTGAGTCACGCTTAAATAATGAATTAAAAAGTTTTAATATATTATTTTTATCAGCCTTGCACACTTAATTTTAATTTTGAGGTAAAGATGAATGTCTTATTTTAAACTAAGATAATAGAAGAAAATACTGCAAGAATAAACTGGTACTTTTCCCTTCACTCGAAAACAATTATATATAGCAGCTGATATCAAATAAAGATGAAATATTTTAAAACATTTTAATTCAATAATATGAAACTAAAAAAATCATTTAATAAATAATTATCAGTCTCTGATTCTTATTTTAATCCTTTTGGAGTTATGATGATTTTAAATTTAAGAGAATTTGAATAAATTGTTTCAAAACCGCCACTTACGGGATCTTTAGAATAAAAGTATGAGAGGAAGGGATAAGGATGACTTTGATTGAGAATGTGATTTCCTTTTTGCTAATTTTATTTTTTCTTTATTTTCTAATTTGGATTTCCTTTTTATACTGAGTTCTTTCTTTCTTGACATTTTTTGTTGCTTTTTTTATTATTTGTTTTGTTGCTTTTTTTATTATTTGTTTTGTTGCTTTTTTATTATTTGTAATCCCTTTTTTTTGTTATTGTTTTTATAAATTTTCTTTTTTTGAAATTTTTTATTTGAGTTTCTATTGACACCCCTCTCCCTTCTATGGAATCAAGCAGATACTTAATAGCTTTCCATATCTAATATCAAATTAGTTTCAGGAAAAATATTTTAAAAAAGTTCTGACCTTCCTGCCTAGCACTGGCCTTATTTCACTAAAACTCAAATATAAGGTTAATGATTTTTTTTATATTTTTTTATTATTAAAATATAGTTTTCCCCAAAATCATTATAACAATTAGTTCTAATATTCATCTATTATAAAAAAATATATAATACTCTTTATGAACTCCTATTTCCCAATCTTTGTGATTCTCCATATGACAAGTTTCCTCTACTAGTATATATTATTATCAATATCTAAAAAGAACATTAAAAAAAACATAATAATCATTATTTATCACAACTTCAACAGTAAAATAATCCTTATTTTTTAAAAAAAAAAAATTATCAGTAAAATAACTTCTTATGATAAAATTACTCGATTTAGAATAATTTCTAAGCATGATGAACATCCACCTCTTTTATTACTTGTTATTTACTTTGATGTTTATTTTATCTAATCTGAAGACGCACAAAAATCTTTATATTCATTAAACATTACTTTATAGATCACATGCTTAACCCTATATTAAAATATCCTAAATCCATACAAAATATCAAAACTTGTTCAGAGATTATTAGCTTGTCCTCTACTTTTATAATGATTATGGGGGATACGGGAATTAATGCATCAGATATACTAGAAGCATGCGGAATTTTACTAAATAATGAATACGCAAAATTTAACACATGTGATGATTTCTTAAAATATTTGGAACAAGTAATAAAATAAAAAATATTAGCATATAATATGGTAATCTAATTTTAGACTACAAAAGATTCCGATACACATCATTTATTGCTTCTAAATATATACCAAATATCTACAATAGCTAAAATATTGTTAATTCCAAGATACCAAATTTGCAGGAATTTTTTATCCATTGATCAATTGAGTGCACACAGCTTTACATCTAAGCAATCCTATATTGAATTAGAATCAACAATGAGTAACATACACATCGTATTCGATTGTACTTGGTTATCACATGAATATCAAAATACTATTAAAAATGATTTAAACAATTTCTGTCAGTCAACAAAGATATATTTAGAGAGATGGGACATTGCAGATTATCAAAAGGTGACCTATTTTTTAAATCAATATTTTATTATCAACATTTTTTAGGTTTTTAAAATGCTTATGGACAAAAGGCAGATTCAAATAACTGATCAAGATATTGTTAAAAATTATTTATGGGAATATTTAGAAAACATTTTATGTGGAAAATCATGGATTAAAATAATGAATCCTCAAAATTTTTATATCTTTACACAGAT